CAAAACGATCCAAAACATTTTCGAAAAAAGTTGTCATGCAGTATTTGCTCTTTTCTAGGCAATGACTTTTACGCGCCAGGGGCAGCGACGGCACCAAAATTTGCTGGCATTGTTCCAGGAAGAATATATGATTAATCCCCTAATATTCTGACGACGGACAAGAGGTTCCGTGATTGGCGCGTTTTTCATCCTCATCCCTGTTGGGAAGATATGTCACATCTGCCATGGCTGCTTCGCTCCATCCAGAATGGGAGTATGTCACGCGGAGATCTATCTGCAAGGATTGGAGTTCCGGCACGCTTGGCTATGGGGAGATCCGGATATGCAGGAGTGCCGGGAGATCTTTATAAATGAACAAAGCCTCGCGGGCCAACAGTCGGGATCGGCATCGTTTTTGATCGACAACATTAATTTACTATTATGCGAATAACGAAAAATCGTTTTAACGTCCTCCATGTACCGTGATAAGCGCGTGTGCTACCAGATCTAAATATCTGGAGGAAGTACCAAGGCCGACATTGGACACCATTCCTGTCCTTGGTTCCTATGTTTATTGATTGTCATGCTCTTACAAACAGACGAAAGGCAGCAGGAGACGGAGAAAGGACGATGTGAAGATAATTGTACTAAAGCATGGAGATACAAATTGTATTGAGAACGAAACAATGAGAAACTCTTTTTGTAGAGGAACTGTGATCACCTCTTTCTTTACCTATCTCCATTTTATTCTCAAATTCTGGATTCCCTCTGAGAAAATATAGATTTTTAAGAGATAAATTCCTAATTTTGAGTCAGTAATCTGATCTTATTGTAAAATTTGGTGCCATTTAGACACAGCAATACCACTCAAATTCGCGCTTTTCGCGAACCTTAGCCTATTGGAAATATTGAATAATAGCTTCTTGTCTTTTTATCACCTGCTTAAACTTCAGCTCACATGTAGGAGGGCATCACAGCACTCAAGAGGGGTACCCAATTTTGAGCTTCCATGCGGATCTCATTGTAGGAATTGATGTGACCCTGCTTCGTAGTGGCTGTTTTATTCTTTTCTTTTTGCGCTTGATCTTCACGCTCCTATCCTTTGGACCAGCTATCTTCAGGGTATCCTGTAGCATAAAGGAGGTATCTAGAGCTCGGAAGGGTGGTGGGGAAATTGAGACTTGAAATAGTATATATAGTGGTCTATGGTTCTCTGCTGACATCGCAAGAGTGAGATGGACTGTTCAGTAAACGATCATCTTCGACACAAATAATACCCTGCAAAGACATTCATTATTACTTTTTGATCAAAATGCTGGGGTCCGCTCTCGTTTGGCTAGGCTTCGCGCTATGTGCGACATCAGGATCTGCGATGCCTTTGGATGAGAAGGTTGTAATCTCTCTTATTTTCCTACTCTGCTCGTTTCTGCAGCTAACGTTTCGGGGAGTGGAAAGACTCCAGGGGCTGCGGTACTGCATTCTTGGGACCCAAGGGACTCCGTGGACGATACGCCATCGGATTTGAAGCGCGTTGTTGAACAGCGTTACCTTTCCCGCATGCCCAAAATGGTCATCCCTTTGGCGATAATGAAATATGTACTTCACCGTGGAGAGGATGGCCAAAAATGAGACAACAGGACCAGGGCTATACTTCAAATACTGGGGATTAGATATCACTTATCCTAGAATCACCTCCTGTCAACCTGTGCTCTCTGATGTGATAGGTGTGGAGAAGACAATCGTCTGTGGCAATGGACAAGGCTGCAAGGTATCGAGAACTGTGATCCTCGTGGACACCTACACGAATAGCGTAGGATGGAAGATTGGCGGGTCAGTTGGCGCAGATATTGGAGCCGGGGAAGGGTTCACCATCAAAGTCTCAGGGACCTACGAGAGAAATTATCAGGAAACCTAGGCGAGAGCCGACGGGACAACAACAACATACGAGTTTACTTTGAAAGAGAACACCAGTTGCACACCAAGTATGGTGCATGTCGATCTGCTGTGCGACATCGAGGAGGCAACGTATAAATTCGACGCACGGTTTCAAAGCGATAAGAGCGAGGGGGACATTTTGGTCTTGGAAAATGACCTGAACAAAGCTGACCGGCTTCAGCATTGTACTGTCCTAGACCTGGTCGCCGACGGCGTGAAAGATGATCCTGAAAATGGCATGGTATGGGCACCATTGTGGCCAAAGGATCACGACAGAGGCTTCCTCTTTATGGGGTCTGTGGTGACGTTGAATAAGTATCGTTTGCTTTCCGACGACCACGAAATCCGCTCCAACGAAATTGTAATCAAATCGAACCCTCGCAAGGGGAACCCTTTTCCAAACAGAGTATTCATATGCCCTCCCGATCAGCCCCTCCGCAAAACAGACGAGGCTCGTGTACCCCTGAAGCAGCTTGGAAATGAACTCCTTGGTGCGATTGGATGCGTTTAACTCTTGAAGCAACGAAACGACCAATCTCCCTTCGTACCATAATTTTCCTGTTCGATTTCGAGAACACCTCGACAAAGTGGTATATAGCTTGAGTTGTTTTGCCTGTGACAGCAGACGATTTTTTTTTTTTTTTTTTTTGATGCCATTTCTGGTGGATATTTAGCAACTGTGATAATGAGTTACGTTGTCACCAAGGTTGGGAGGAAGTGGTTTTCATAAGTAGTGTACCTTAATGCATTGCAGTAAAGTCTAAGTTTGAGATTCAGATCGTCATACGAACAGTGGATATTCAGTGTAGAACAGCCAATCAACTCTATGCCTCAAATCTGCGACATCATTCTCTCAGAACCTGAGACTCTCATCACCAAGTAGATATCACAGTAGATATGGGCTGTGGTCAATACACATCTGGATAAAAGAAAATGTGCCCAGCAAATTTCTCTGCTTTTTCAGGGAGAGTAGGCAGGGTTCGACAGTGGATAATATAGGACAAAATAAAATCCTTTACAAGGAGGAAGTTGACAGTGGCAAATTTACAAAGAGCAATTCTAATAAAGGATATCCAAATGCGAGGATAAATAGTTTAACATGCCTGATAGCCTTACGGGACAGATGGCAAAGAAAACGCGAAAATAGGCACGGAAAGGGTTAAAATTTAGGCGAAGTAGCATAAAAATAATATAAATATAAAATTAAGCGGACCAGGAGGCAGAGGCAGGAAAGGGGATACATAAAAACGGATATACATAGGTGTGAAGACACTCATAAAGTGGAAAACGGCAAAAGGAAAAACCACAAAAAACCAGTATGAAACTGCACGTAGGCGGGAGAAAAATATAATACGAAGCGGCAAACGAATAAAGGGAGGGTACAGATTCCGAAATCCTAATTCGATGGGCAAGAGAGCGATTAATGTTATGAGAAACTGGCTGGTACGAGAGGGATTTCAAACTGGAGAGAAATTGTAACTGATACCCCATGTTTGTACAAGATTGCCAGAGTCCTCTCTTTCGTATGCATATTAGTTTGGAAATTCCAACCCAATACAGTCGAAGTACGAATTGAATTTTGAAGCGGAAATTTCATGACGGATGAGATCGGGAGCTATCCGAGGACTTGTTCCTTACTTCGGAGGCTTAAGCTCCTTCTCGGCTTTTGCGGTAGCTAGCCTGTTGGTTGGGTTGAAGGGCAATTAGTGGAATGCGTTCTGCAAGTACAGCAGGGTAAGCGATTAATATTAAGGGAGGGACAAGGAGGTAAAATAGCAGGAAGATGGTCTTTAATCACGAACCTCTTGCTCGACTTGCAACCCATCAACAACTGGGGCAAGCTCGCTGAGGATCTCGTAAGATTTCTTGTGGTACTCCAACTGAGCCGCGATAAGATCTGCCAAATTCCGGAGAGGTTCAGGCGTATCCAAAACCTGGAATTCTTTGTTAATAAAATATGCCAAAGAACATGCACAAGTAGTAGAAAGGGAGCGAAAATCCAACATTTTTCATAACTCCAACAGCCTCCTCAGTCTGGCCTACAAACTCATCTTCCGCCTGCTCAATCTCAGCCCGATCTTCCTCACTGAGGCTGTCCAAATCTCCCCTCGACACTCCCTTTCTAGCCTTGATCGAATCGAGCATTAACCTCGCATTTTCGACGTTCTTGCGAGCTTTGGTCGCGAACATCAGGTTGGTGTTCAACGTGGTGTTCCAGCCGGCGAGGAACCGGCTCTGGATCTGAGCATCCTGGGCGAGCCGTGCCTCTCCAACTCGTTCAGCGGCAAGAGCGTATTTCTCCAAGCCAATGGCGAGGGGGTCCTCTGAGCCACTGGGGGTGGTCTGCGCGATTAACTGAGAACCAGCCAGGGAAGCGCGCGCGATGGCATGGCTGAAAGTCTTTGGCTGGGGCTTGGCAGATGGAGGAGCCGTGAGGGCCGCCTGTGCTTCAGCGGGAGATGTAGCGTGGGAAAGAAGCTGGACTTTCTCACTAATGGTACGGCCAAGGTCGTTGAATGACTCGCGAATGTTGGGAGGGTAGTCATAAGGCTCATTAGAGTATTGAGAACTAGAGGTTGTTGGAGAAAATATGCAACCATTAGACGGATTCTCCTCTGACAAAGGGCTACAAATCGTCGAATTGAATGATTCATGTTTGGACGGTACTTACGTAACCTGCAAGAGCTGCTGATGAACCAGCTTTAGAGCGTCCACACGCTTCTCGAGCTCGATATAATCATCGGGAAGTTGTGTCTAAGAACAGTATTGAGGGTTAACTAGAACATCCATCACGCCAAGGAAGGAAAACCAGAGCCAGTCTACAGATGGCTGGAACGTCAAAAGATGGTGTACCTTCTCATCAGCTTGGCCGAGTTGTTCCTTCACAAATTGCTGCGTCCTGGCTGCGAAAGGGGTAAATGATGCACTATGTAGGATGAGGGCAAATGCGCCGATGAATTAGAAATGCGATTTTCCAAACAATATAAACGCTCACTGGTTGCGGAAAGGGGCACATGTTTTGGGATTGGAACTAGATGCCCCCCAAGTCAGAAGAATAAGGGCAGTACCTAATGTTCTTCCCGAAAGCCTGTACTTTGTCCATGGTTAGGGAAGGAAGGGGATTGCCCTCGAGAATAGTCAAAAATCTAGGATATTCGGGAAGACGTATATAAGGAGGTGGTTCTTTCTGTGAAGCGGAATATTTAT